TACATATTTTTTTTTTAATTACTTGGGAGAAACGTTGGGGGGGGGAATCCCAGGATAGAATGTAAAATGTGACAAAGCAATCTAACTACATTGCAAATGTATGAAACAGTCTCAGGAAAGGAGGGAAAAGGTGCTGACCTAAATAAACAAGTTACTGGAAATCACTGGAGTCTGTAAAACTAAAAAGGTAAATGAAAGTAGATAAGTGCTGAATTCTTGTTGATAAGCTGTACCTCAGGGGGATATGGGTTAACAGTTCTGATACTGTTATCGACTTAAACTGGAATTTAACGATTCAATCAATGGATGGTGGACAGTAGGAGCTAGGTTTCTCAGCATTGAAGTGGTTAGAATGATCCATGTGATAATAGATTAGAGTTGGTTGTTTAGTTTAATATGTGCACAGATAATTACATAAAAAGTATAGATGTGTTGTATAATGAAGTGAAAGTGTTAGTGTCCGACTTGGTGACCCCATGGACTGTAGCCTGCCAGGCTCCTCGGTCCATGGGATTCTCCAGGCAAGAATACTGGCGTGGGTTGCCATTTCCTGCTTCAGGGCGTCTTCCCAGCCCGGGAATCAAACCCAGGTCTCTTATGTCTCCTGCATTGGCAGGTGGGTTCTTTACCACGGTGCCTGGGAAGCCCAACAGTGAGCATACCTAGTACCTAGATCTTGGATTCTAATGCCATTTGTCCATAAAAGGAGCCAGGGCTCCTTAGAGAAATAACTGATTCTGGGACTGGGGCAGGAAATACGCCAGATGAGCTTCCACCATCTTGCATTGCCAGAAAGTAACAAACAAAAACACGCAAATGGAGGTGTATCAGAGTGCCGGGGCAGCCAACTGAAAAATCGCCCAGTGGCTGAATGGGGCATAGCTGAGTAGCAGAAGACATGAACTGGCCTTGAACTGTAACCCGAAGTGGAAAATAAGTAGGCATGAGATGCATGAATCCATGTGGATATAAACAGAGAAGAAGTGTTGTAGCACTTTTGGTCTGTGCTGCTGTCGAATTTGCCCCAGATGGCTTAATATGGTGGTTAGTACAGCACTTTCTGAAGCCACCAAACACCAGGGACGATAGGAATACACTTCCGTAGGAATCCCAGCTCTCTTGATTTAGGGCCTTTTGTGTATTGCTAAAATTTGCCCTTTAATTCATTAATGAACTGGGAAAAGCTGTTATGAACCTAATGACTTCTTTATTATGCTGACATCATTCCCGTATTTATCAAGTGCATGTGAGCTAATTTGTATTCAAGAAATGTGTTTAGTACCAAGACAGACTTTATTAGAATTTAATATTTCTGCGGTGGAGTAGTTTCAGGTGATGTCTGAATCCAGAGCATGGCTCCAGGAAGAATGGTCAAAATTAGAGTGGAAGTCCATGGGGAGAAAAGAGGTCCAGGAATTGAAATGCAGAAACAATAAGATAATCACAAATGAGCATTATGTGTGTGAATGTGGTATGCAGGGTCTGTAAACAAGGTTAGACTGAGTCAGAGAGGTTAGAGAAAGAACAGTTGAGGAAGTAAAGCTTGAGCTGAGATAGAAAGGCTGAGAAGGAAGGGCACCGCTCTGCAGTTGGAGGGAGTTGTGTGGCCCTGCCCGGCCTGGCCAGGGTGGTTGGAGCAGAAAGGAAGAGGTGGGAGACGCAGAGGGAGGGGAGGTCAGACAGGATTTTCAGGAAGTTCATCTTCTTCTCGGCTGAAAGGGGAGGACGTCAGTTTACTGAAGGCTAGTGGTACAAGGAAGACTGAGGTCTGTTTTCAGAAAGGCACTTGGCTGCGCATTGGAGAGTGGCGAGTTCTAGGGGTGGGGGCATTTTTCAGAACCATCCAGGTAAGTGCAGTCAGCAGATTGTGTGCAGGGGAGGAGCTGACCTTGCTAGTCTTAGAGTCCTGAAGCAACACATGTATTTTCTTCTTGAACCATCCAGAAAACACTTAACCTTGAAGACTGTGGTTTTAAAAATGTGCACTTCGGTAGTGTGAGGTTGTACTTTGGTCACCACAAAATTTAAGGTAATAAACTTCCTGCCGACAAACCTTATTAGAAATAGGCCCTTTGCTATGATATTACTAGTCTCACCTAAAAATAGTGTGCATCCTTTTAATCTTACATCTCGCCTTTTTCCCGGGTCTTTACCTTTTAAAGTTAATTTTAAAATGAAACAAATCCTTTTAACCTTTACAGAATTCTTCTGTAGTGTCTTGGTAGAGCATAATGAATATACTGGTCTTGGAGATTTATGATTGTGTAATTCTTTGCAGTTATTTTTGCACAGTAGTAAAACATAGGGGATTTTAATTCAGACATGGATTTAATGCATGATTCTACCAATTTGGGGCAAGTTATATTACCTCCTTAAGAATTTCTTCATTTTTAAAAATGAGGTTAAATTATACCTATTTCACAGATGTTGAATGAGAAAAATCTGTACAAAAGCACCTAATGCTTTGAGAGATTGTTTACTCTCAAATATTAGTTTTATTTTTCTTTTCTCATAGAAGTAACTTAAATAGGAGGTGGGAGTACTTGTGAAGTGATTCCAGAATGCCAGTGTAACTAAATCCTTCCTGTGGGTTCAGGGCTCACCCTGGATCAGGCTTCTTGAATTTAAATCCCATCACAGATCCTGGTTTGGGACTCTCACTCAGCAGTGAGCCCTGAGTTTCTTCCTTTGGCTTCCTCAAGTGTGAAATGGTAATAAATAGTACCTACTTCATGGGTTGTTTTGAACATGAAATGAGCTAATAAACACAATGCTTTTATTTACTTATTTGCCATCTTCAAAATTGAAGTACAGTTAATTTACATTGTGTCAGATGTGCAGCATGGTGATTCAGTTATACATGCATATGGATTTTTTAGATTCTTTTCCATCGTAGGTTATTACAAGATATTGAATATAGTTCTCTGGGCTATACAGTAGGTCCTTGTTTATGTTTTATGTATCAGTTCAGTCGCTCAGTCGTGTCCGACTCTCTTCGACCCCATGAATCGCAGCACGCCAGGCCTCCCTGTCCAACACCAAGTCCTGGAGTTTTCTCAAATTCATGTCCATTGAGTCGGTAATGTTTTATGTATAGTAGTATGTATATGTTAATCTCAAACTCCTGATATATCCACCCCAGCCCCATCCCTTTTAGTAACTGTAAGTTCTGTCAATACAGTGCTTTTAGAATGGTGCCTTTCACATAGTATTAAATATATATCATCTATTATCACATACCGTTATTAAAGATACTTTCAGATTCCCTTATCCCTAAGACTTTTGAGCGCTTCTCTTCAAAAAAACCAAAACCAAAAATAAAGGCTGGTCGATTTAGGACTCCTGGGTTAATTGGGGTTTTCTTTAGATTTATTTTTAGCTGTCTAAATTCTAAAAATGCTTTTTGTTTACATGACCTTTTCCCAGGAGGCTCAATTATTTGAACATAACTTTACTGTAGAAGATGTTTTGCTGAAACCATAATTTATAAAATTTCAGTTTTTAAAAAAGTGATTAGCGTATCATTTTGCAGATTTGTGTTATTATACTTTTCTTCCACTTAGCTGAATGTAAATATTACCTGCATATGTTAAGACTGTTTATCAGCATCTGTACATTGCCACTTCCGTTTTTATCTTCCTAGCTGAGTTTATCACCTCTCAGTGGTCCCCCGGGCTGAAAAACCTGTGTCCATAGTATGTATGCTAATGGTAGTAGACTAGAGTGGCTGAGTTCATTCTGTTTCTTTTAGGCCATGTGACCATGTGCTAATTTGCACTACAAGTGTACACCCAACTGTTTCATGATAGGACATACATTGATAATTTGACAGAGTGTATGGTAAGAAGAGATCTGATCTCATTGATGTGTGATGGTTATTGTATAGCCAATATAATTTTTGGCTTAAAAGAAGGGTTTAATTTTAAAACAATCATGTTAAATTTAAGAAGGGGAATTCTGCTACCCGTGAAGGTAGTGGTATAGTCGGACTGAAAGATTAATGACTGTACTGGGTGAAGCATATCTAACTGGAACACCTGAGTAATGACTTAGAGCTTTATTTCTCATCAGCTCTTTCGGGGATTGTGGGGCTTGTCTCATTCACTCTGAGTACTTTCTGAAATGCTGCTTCAGCTTCGTCTTTATTCTGGTGGTTTTATGGGCATATTTGGGCATATTTTCTCTTGCTCACGTGGTTTTGTTCACATGCTAACTTTCAGGATAATTTGTGTCTTGGGTGGTAGACATAGTGGGGGATGTGATATTAGTGGATAAAATTCTCTGCAATTAGATTGGGGAATAGCTAATATGTAAAAGTTTAAAAGCCATTATCTGATTTCCTAAAGATGTCAGCAATAGTATGATTCATTTCCTTTCTTAAAATGAAAAGACAACTGGAGGGTAGATATGTTTCTTGGTAGGCCATAATTGACCAAAGAACTTTTATGGATCAGCCTCTGTATAGAATTAATGACCAAAGTATGTCAAAGAACAGCTTTGTAAATTCTTAAAGTAAGAAAGCTGTTTCACCAATTCAACCTAATTATATAAAGTTTCACTTTAAAAAATAATCAGTGATACAGATGCTTCTGGTTTAAAAAGTAGGTCATTTGGCAAACATGTGTTGTTTAGGAATTTTACAAATTATATGCAAATTTAGGTCTAATAAAATGAATCATATTCTCATCATGTTCTTAAAGTGTATCCTTTTGCCTCTTAAAAATATTGTCTACCTTAAAATATTTTATTTGCAAAAAGGATTGCTAGGTTCAGTGTGCTTATTAGATTCTGAAATTTCACCAAAACTAGTAACTGTGTGAAGAGTTCCATGTTTAACTTGTGCTATTTTGCATATTGGATTGTGATAAGTGTGTTACTAAATTATTTATTCTGATGAGACCAGAAATGTATATATCATTCAAAAGCTGTGTTCGTTCCTGAATTAAGATTTTCATTTGAATATATATGTCTTGATTGTCCTTCTTCCTGTTCTTATGCAGGTCATGGCAAAACCCCAAAAGATGCGGCGTCAGTTCGTGCCACACATCCAATACCAGCAGCCTGTGGGATTTATTATTTTGAAGTAAAAATTGTCAGTAAGGGAAGAGATGGGTAAGTGGAAATTTTGGTGGGAAAAATTTGTTTATGGATAATTATTTTTGTTTTCATTCATAACCGTTTATGATGTAATTGGAAAATTGGAATTTTTTGGAAAATTTTGGTAATTGAAAGAGTGGAATCTGAATATTGTAGTATAGCAGGTTTTATCTGGTTCTGCTTAAATACTTGTTGAAGTTAACATTTGAGTTGATAAAAATTTGGTTCTGCTTAAATACTTGTTGAAGTTAACATTTGAGTTGATAAAATTACCAGAATTTTCTGGTAGGTTTGTTGTTAAAAGGGAGAATTGGAATAAAACAATAGAGAGATAATGGCTCATTTTCCATGCCTTTCTTACACTGCCATTTTCTGAATTCCACTGAGAAGTTAAATCTTCTCCAAGATAGTTAACCAAAACCAAAAGGTGATTCACAGGTATTTTGTAGGGGTGGAGACTCAGAATTTTAGGTTTAGGTCAGGGAAATGTATGTTAGTACACTGTCAGCTATTGCAAGGATTAGGATGTAGTTTAGAAGGTTCCAGCTGATAATTTCGTGTAGATGCTGGAACTAACTTTTGTGTCATTGCTTTTCAACTTGGGATATGTGGTGTGTACACACAGTATATACGCCACTCTGTTAGGGACTAATAAAAATACAGTAGCTTGGTTCTTACCCCCAAAGTTCCTTAGTCAGTATTTTCAGGTGTAGCGCTTGGACATGATGGACATTTTGAGGACACTCCACAGGGAATTTCGGTGCATCCCTCTCTCTGAATGAGAGCTGATTATATAGACTTACTGGATCGGTTCTGTGGTATTTCCTGATAAATTTATTGTGGTATCAGAGATCCTTTAAAGCATCTCTAGAGTTGTTTGTTCAGCTTCCAAGGTGAAGTTACTAGAATGTGTAACTTTACCTGTATTTGAAGTGAATCATTTCACCCCTTTTAGTGCTTCTTGTGGGTTTAATTGACAAAATAAGTGTGTTCAATAGATTATTCCTCTTACTTTATTTGCTGAACATCATCAGTGGCAACGATATGCAAAGTACAAAGTGACACCTTGGATTCAGTGGTAACTTTTTAGCTACTTCAGTTTTCCCAGGGTGATCAGGCCAAAGATAAAATCATAGAAGCCAAGAGTAAAGTGATTGAGAGACCCCAGATTGAAATGGCACATAATTGTAACCATTTCTAGTTGCACCGCTGCATACTCTCCCAGTTCTTTTATACTTCACATTATATCATTGGCTCCATAATGCTGGTGTTGCTCAGGATAATTCCCAGAATTCTCTCCCTTTAGCTCTGCGTAACTCTGCAGGAGCTTGACCTTATATCTTCGTGGCTGCCAGTACTCTGATGAGCCTCAAATCTGCAACTGAATCTCGGGATATTCCCTTGAGCTCTGGACCAGATGTTTGTATTTGAATGTCCCACAGGCATTTAAATTTAGCTTATTTAAAGTCGTTTTCTCAACCATAGCCTGGCTCATGGTTTCACTATTGCTAGAAACTTGCATATTTCCTGCCTTTAACTTTCTCTGTCCACTTCTACAGTTTCTGCCCGAGTCAGGGGTTGGTCATCTCTCCCCTGAATGCCTGAGATCTCCCAGGTGCCCCTGTTTTGCTCTCACTCCAGTCTATTAACTGTTGTCCATCTTCCTTCTGATACAGAACTGAAGGGTCTGTCCCTCTCTTAAGATTATTTAATACACCAGTTACTTTGAGAATAAAATCTAAAACTTCTTAGCAGGATCCTTCGTGATGTATGATTAATGCCTTGCTAATTTTTTAGTCTCATCTTTTTGTGGCCAGAATTTCTTTCATTTTTGAAACTAGGTATATTTTACGTGTAGTAAAACTTAAACTGTTTTAGCGTGCGGGTCTGTGAGTTTTGATAGATGTGTACGGTCTTGTAACCATCACCAGAATCAATATATAAAACAATTCCATCACCCACCGACACCCAGATTCCTCCATATCTCTTTTCAGGCAACCTTTCCCTATCTCCAGCCCCTGGCAACCACTGATTTGTTTTCTTCCTTTATAGTTTGCTGTTTCTAGGATGGTATATACATGGAGTCATGTAGTGTAAAGAGTATAGTAGCCTTTTAAGTCCGGCACCTTTCACTTCGTATAATGCATGTGAAGTTCATCCTTATTATTGTATGTATTGGTAGCTGTTATCGCTGATTGTATGGAGGAACCAACCACAGTGTCCTTACTCTTCTGGTGAAGGACATCAGATTATTTCCAGTTTTTTGGCAACTAGTTTTTGCATAGACGTGAGTTTTCACTTAATTTGGGTAAATACACAGGAATGGGATGGCTGGGTTGTTCGTTAAGTGTCTTTTAACTTTATAAGAAACTGCCAAGCTGTTTTGCAGTGTGGCTGTGCTGGCTTCCGTTCCCAGTAGCAGTGTGTGGGGTCCCAGAGGCTGTGCCTCCTCAGAAGCCCTTGGTATTGTCAGCGTTGTTTTGTTTGTTTGTCTTTAATTTGCTGCCATTCTAATAGATACCTAGTGGTTTCTTGTGATTTTAACTTTCATTTCCCTAATGACCAATGATGTTGAAGGATCATTAATTCTTATCTGCCCTACATTTTTTTAAAACAAACTTAATAATTCTTTCATTTTAATTTTAAATTAATTACTTGTCAACAACTATGGACATGGTTAAGAAAGGATGTAACAGATATACTTAAGAATACTGAATTGACCAGTGGAATTGAATGGAGTGCTTCTTAGGGCAATTCTCATTTTAGCCTTCACCCTGATTAAATTTAAGATCCTTATTTCTCCTCTCTTTCCTGAGCTGGGGGGGCTCAAAGTGGGGTACCCAGTTACTCTCCATTCCCACTTTCCTGCCAGTTGGACTTGGAGAAATAAGCCCCAGAAAACAGAAAGTAGGGTGTTAAACAGAGCCGAACCAATGTAAAGTGACCCAACAGGAGAGGGATGGGACACGCTTTAGGTTAGAAAAATGTCATCTAATCACGCTGGGGTCCACTTGCCCAGCACCCAGCAATGCCAGTCTGCTGACACCGGCTTGTGGTGAAGGACAGTGTTTAGTGTGAGCAGCGGGCCAGGAGGATGGGCAGCTCATGCCCCAGTGACCCAGACTCCCCAGTGGCTTTCCGGGGATGTTTTTAAAGGCAACATTAGAGCTGAGGGCTGCAGGGTATATGATCAGCCTGTGGGCTTTCTTCAGCTGGTGGTGAGATAACAGGGTGATGCTTTGGGAATCTTAATCATCAGCCTCTGGTTCCCGCCTGTCCAGGGTCAGCATGTAGCATAGTCACCATCCACCCCCTGGGAGGGGTGGGGGGGGTCTTAGTTTCCAGAACAACTCAGAGATACTCTCAGGTTGTTACGTGTATCCCTTGAGGGAGACTGGGGCTCCGAACTAGCAAGCTGTCATTGCTTTTTTTGAATGACTGCTTTTCATTTGTTTCTGCATTCCCTTTCTTCCCTAGTTAGTCACTGCTTGGTCTGCTCTTTGGAACTCAGGAAACACGGAAGGGCTTCCGTACCCGCGAAGGCCTCTCGGGGCCTGCTGGGTTTCAGTCTCCCTTTTTCTGATAGGTCTCGGTCTGGAGGGGGAGAGGGGTGAGAGCAGAGAAGGAATCAAGTTTTGGATAGAGCGGTTACCCGTCACCTGGCGAGAAATTTAAAAATGAATGTCTGTCGTCCCTTTCCCCATTGGCCAAGCTTATTAGCTAGTTTATTACTCTTCAGGCCCTAGTTTACAGGTGCTTCTTACGGTGGTGCTTTCTCCTTCCCAGAATGAGATCGTGCCTTTGTCACGCTTCCTCTCCTTTGAGGGCAGACAAATTAGAGTACCTATGATGCTGTAATTGTCACTTATTGATTCAAGGATAAGGGACGATTTTATATTTCTGTATTTCAGTGCTTTCTTTTTAGCCAGCCCTCATGAATGAACAAATGGATAGATGAGAAACAGTACCTACCGCCTGTATATTCTTGGCGAAAACCATTGGTTTTTTTGTCTGATTTGTTTATTTCTGGTAATCTTTTTGAGTGCAGTTTTAGGTCCAACTCAATGCTTTTGGGAGCGAAGAACAAACAGTTCATTTATGGAACAGAAGCAAGTCATGTAGCTTATTTTGGCCAAGTAAGGTCTTTCTGGAGATACATTGAACTGTTATCAAGAGATAAAAGAAGTCCTTCCTAAATTCCTAACGATGTTGTGAAGATGTAACCAGAAAGAGCAGCTGTCAGCTATCTTTCATTTGCAGTGATATATGCTCACCTGAGAGTTTATTATATTTAATTTTGAATTTTTTTTTAAGCAATGCATTTATCCAAGATAGGGACAGATAAATAAGTATTTGGATCCAATATGGCAGTTTTCTTAAGAGAAATTGTCGTTGTAGCAGGTTTTTTCATAAAGTGGCAGGAGTTGGGTATGAGTTGCTTCTCAGTTTATTTGTAAAATGTGTGATTTCTAGGTTGCCTTGGAAGGTTAGGAATATGACTGTGAAGATTATTACTTGTATTTCTTCATTGCCTAAGAAGTGAGGCTTGAAGGAAGCTTCTTATTGAATAAAACAATATGTTTTGCTTTCTGCCTTGGATTTTCATTTATTTTCAATTTCATTTAAATGTTTATTTTCATTTAAACATAATTTTTTTGTATGTTCAGCAAAGTAAGCTTACTTTTATGAGGACAGAATAACCAGTCAGATTTTTTAATTTCAAAATGAATTTCTAACATTTTGCAACCAAAAAATTAAATCACATTATCTGCGTAAAACCATTTTTTAGGAGACTTATTTAAAGGATATATATTTACTTTATGTTCTTGTTAATTCTTATTGACTGTGTAGATGAATTTCTAATAGACTTGGTCTCATGAATGTACTTTCAGTTCAGGAATTTCATTCAGGTTTTAAATTATGCATACTAATAGAGGCAGTGGGGATAAAGTTAATTATAAATGTGAGAGATAATAAAATTTTTATTTGGAAATTTTTAGAATAATTTATTATGA